GAGGTCAAAATTTCCGGAGCCCTCCACTACGGCGTCTCTCATAATTGTAAGGTGGTTTTGGGATGTTAAACCCCACTTATCGATCAATCAAGTAACTAGAAGAATAAAAATGGGGTGAAGCACATTCGGCAAGCATTCTCAAATCATTAATAGTAGATTGCCTCTATCCCTCAGCTGCATCTTACCACAGCTGCATCTTACCCGTACTTACCTGCGAAGTTGTAACCTGGAGGATTGCAAACAGGCTTCAGCTTAAGTTGTCGACGACGCAGTGAGCAATGGAAAGCAAAATAATTTGTGTAACCTTGAAGAACAAGAAAAGAGCAGAATTAATTAGGGAAAAACGGGTGTTAAGGATACCATTGTTGAAATCAGGAAGATGAAATGGTCATTGGCAGGACACGTAGCGTGAAGGCAAGGTGACTGCTGGTCATTAAGGATGACAGACTGGATTCCCAAGAGAAGGCAAGCGGGTAAAGGGGAGACAGAAATTTAAATGGACAGACGAGATTAGAAAGTTTACGGGTATAAAGTGGTAGCAGCAAGCACAGGACTGAGTTGAGTGGCGGAACATGGGAGAGGCCCATGTCCTGCAATGAGCGTAGTCAGGCTGATTATGATGATGATAATGATGATGTAGCGCCTGGGTTGAAAAAGAAAGTGAGCGTGAAGTGGAGATATGTGATGAGGAATAGGCAAAGAAAGAGGGAGAAAGTAAGGAAAGCATAGCATCTAAAGAATGAGAATGAGCAAAAGAAAGAAAATCAAGGGAAAAATTCAGTGAGAAATGGAAAGAAACAAAAGGCGAGAAATAGAGTGAGTAGAGAAAAGAAGACGTAAAAATAAATAAATTGTAGAAAAGGGCACAGAAAAAATGCCGCCATATCCACGAAGTGAATGATGATGAGTGGGCGAAGCTCCGGAGGTAAACCTGGTAAACCATGAATCCTCCGTACATTTGGCCCACTCGATTTTATTGCAACGCTCTCCCTAGCGTACGTCGCCGCACTATATCGAACGATGACACGCGCCATATGTGGCATCATTCCTATTTTATAACACCTCGCATCTTTCATAATCAACTACACGTACGCCGTCTAGTTTATAACATCTTGCATCTTTTGGACGGACGGACGGACGGACGGATGGATGAGGTGATGGACTGGATGACGACGGAGGGGACGGACGGACGGACGGAAGGACGGGCGGGCGGGCGGACGGACGGGCGGGCGGGCGGGCGGACGGACGGACGGGCGGGCGGGCGGACGGACGGACGGATGTATGGATGGATGGATGGATGGATGGATGGATGGATGGATGGATGGATGGATGGATGGATGGATGGATGGATGGATGGATGGACGGATGGACGGATGGATATGGCTGTACCCTTTAGATCGGGCGGTGGCTAGCGTAATACTACGCTAGCCACTATATGTAGCCACTGTATGTAGTCCCCTGTATGTAGCCACGAGAGGTGGCTACATACAGGGGACGCACAGCCCACGCCTTAAGGAGCTCCTAAAAAAAAACAGATGAAATAAGTAGGGAACTAATAAATAGGAAATTTGCGAAACTCGCGAAGCAGCAATAGCCAGGACTACCTAGGCGCCCTTGAACTCAACTGTCTTTTCAGCATTTCGCCTCGAGTGTAAGCTGACCTAACTTTTTGTGTTGCTTTTCTCTTTGTTTTTAATGTCGCCAGAAGATTCGTTCTTTCAACAGGATTCGTTTGTACTTACCTATTAATTTGCCGAGTACCCACTCGTTCTTCTAGTACATTTTATAATTTTGATGAAATAGAAGTTGCCACTTTCAGTCTCTCCTACTGTGTTTCATATATACATATTTAGCGCTAACGTACTGATACGCTCATGTGCGGTTTAGAACCAAGAACGATATGGCAATCGGAGAGCTACAGTTGATGGCAGCACAGCGCTCTTTCGTCACGTGCGCGGTAGGTTTCTTCAGCCCAGCATCGCTACAGCTGGTGAACTCCGTCGTAATGTCAAGGCGCAACTTCGCGCTGTGCAACCCTGGTAACCACTGGGGGCACTCCGGCCATATACTCATTGTTGTCGCTATTGAGGTGAAACACATGGCGCGTGCACTGTTTGGTCTCTCGACAAACGCCTGCACCGTGACGTTCCACCGTCCTCGTGCAGAAAAAAAAAATGCTCACGTCATCAGTGGATCGAGCCTAATGGCTCCAGACTTCGCGGAGCTATAAAATGTAAATGGAAGGGAGGTACAGAACCGACCGCTTACTGAGTGTACCTCGCTGTTCGGCACTCTACCGAACGCGCCTGCGCTCAGCAGGTGTTTATAGACGGTACTTCTCTTCTCGCCGTCTCTAGTGTGTTCATTCTCTCTCCCGCGGCGTTGCGCGAGGCCCGGTGGTCGCCGAACGGGAGTGCATTTAACGGGCTCGCGCGTCGTGGGAAGGCAGGGCTGGCTACTCCCGGCCTGCGCGTCTTCCGCACATACGCGTGCGGGGGTCACCGCGTTTTCTGTGACGGATTGAAGGCGGCTCTCCCCGATTTTTTTTTTTTCGTATCCCTTCCTACACTCCCCCGTGCACTCTGTGGTCCCTCCTCTTCCGCGCGGCGTGTTCGTTGTGTAGCTCGCGCGGCTCTAGTAGTAGTAGGGCCAGAGCCGCCGGAATGAAAGGGGGGGTCGACAGAGTGGAGCGCGGCCTTCAGCCTCCACTGCCGCCGCTGCCTAATGCACTTTGGCTTTCCGCCTCCGCACGCGTCCCAGCGGAGTTATGAATCTAATTAGGGCGCGCCCGCTTCTCGCACGCGTACCGAGAAACACGCACTCTGCTCTTCCCTTCCTCCCTCCGGCTTAACGCGCCGCGCGGGGAGGACGCAACGGCGTCATACACTGAACGCGCAGCTTCTCGTCGCAGCTTCTGCTGCTGCTGCTACTACGAGTACTACGGCCGCCGCCACCTCCGGTTTTTTAACGTCGCCTTTCATCCGGCCGCGGCCATTAGGCGCCGCGCGTCGCTCTACATAGCGGGCTCTGTCTGGCGCGCGAGCCGCGCCAGGCTCTGGTTTGGCGACGGACAACACCCCCAGCTGTGCCGTTCGTGTTGTCGTCGCACGCTTTCTTTTTTTTTTCTTGCCGGTGGTCCCGCTTTCTCTCTCTTCCTCTCAATCTGCTTGCCTCCCCTCCTTTTCCTCCGATCCTGTGGCCGGACGCCGCTGTACGCACGCTCTTCCATCTCTCTGTATGGGCGCCGCGTGCCACTCTGCCCTGTGAGTTATCTGCCCTCTACGTGGTTGGTGCTATTTTCCCCTAGTCGTGCATACGGCCGTGGCGGAGGCGTAGAGAGTGCTCGACCGTGTTTTTTTTTTTTTTTTTGTCGTTCTCGTTTTTGTCGCTCTTTGGTCTTTTCTTTCTTTTTGCTTCTGTGGCTACAGAGCAGATGGCGGCCTGGAACAGCCGCTTCTCTGCTGCGCATGCACTCACGGAAGATGCCGAAGGCCGTGGAATGGAAAAGGCGCCCTATACTTTCTAGAAACAGCACTTTTTTTCTGCGCTCACAACGTAATAGTGGCGCACGCGGGAACTTTTACTACGAGCGGATCTTATCGTACCTCTGATTTTGATCCGGTTCAACTCTCCCCAGATTGATCTGCAACACAGTGTTGACGCTGCGCTGTGATTTTCGGACATTCCTGGCGCATAGTACTCGTTTCTTGTCAGCTCTCGTGCGTCAGAGCGTTGCTCTCGGCACTGTCAATGCGACGTGCACTTAATGTGATTTTAGGGCTATTTAATGTTTGATTTATCTTTTTTACGTTTTCTTTTTTTTGCGGAGGAACAAAAATATTGGCAGCATAATCACGGAGTGAATGATGGAGAGTGGGGCGAAGCGTTCGTCCGTCCATTCGTTCTTGCTTCCGTCCGTCCATGCGTCCGTCTGTGTGACCATCCATGCGTCCATCCGCCCGTCCGTGCGTGCGTCTGTTTGTGCGTCCGTCCCTGCGTTCGTCCATGCATCCGCCCCTGCGTCCGTTCATGCGTCAATCCATGCATCTGTCTGTGTGTCCGTTCGTCCATCTATTCAACACTCCAAGTACCACCATCTCGCATCTTTTCATCATGTTTTCTCCGTATAGAAGCACCGCCATCCAGCGGACATTCCAAGGACTAAACGAGAGGTGGCACACGCTCACTTTCTTACGGCTTGCGCTTCGTATCCACTTCCCACATTTAATTACCTCGAGTTCATGGTATATACTAGTTCATTGTATTCATGGCACTGCGGCTCAACGCTCGCTAAACATTTCTAAAACTAAGGAGGTTACACCCAGCGAGTATAACGTAGCAACCCTTTCTTGTCAGATAGTGCTCAATGTACATGCCAATGGCTGCTAATGGGGATCGCAGCGTGCGCGTTAACTAAAAGCTGAATGCCCCTGTCTCTCATTCTCCTTTAACAGCCATTGGCATGTACATTGAGCACTATTTTTTATTGTTTAACAATGCACAGAAAAAATCTCTCACTGGCACCACCTTGGAGGTCAAAATGTTTTACTTGTTACACACTACAACGGCTAAGAGGGACGAACGGGTGCCGCTATAAGGAGCTTCGCCCCTAAAAGGCGGTTTAGTTTCGGTCGAGAGCATATACTGCGCGCTGCTGTGCCATTGACAAACGCTGCGTTTAAACAATTCTGGAATGTCGTCCTGACAGGTATTCGCGGTTGATGGCGACGAAGGCAGTGCGCAACTTATTGAAGGAAACAGGCATGCACCGGCGGTTACTTGTGGCGTTACGATGACTGTGAAGCATGAATTTGTGTGTTCGTGTTCTCTCACTACCTCTCTCTCTTTCTCTGCCTTTCAAACTCCCCCGTCCTTTTCCCCTGTGTAGGATAGAATACTGGTCCTCCTAGACTGGTTAACTGCCCTGCCTCTCATTCCTCATCTGTTCCTTCCTTCCTTCTTACGTGGACATTCGTGTATTATTCACTTTTTTTTTTCAGAAGACGGCGATGACTGGTGGTCCCTGGAGACCCGTTTTCCTAAGAACAAGTGGACGGCAGCCAAGGCCTTTTTCTCCGAAACGGATGTGACCAACTCTCAGCCTGCGGAAGAATGAGGAGTGACAGTTCGCCGTTGAAGTGTGTACAGGAAGAGCCGGCTGGGAAAGGCCGTCTCGTCGGCTTAGCTAAGTTAACCCGTCCGTGTTTCATTAGCAATGTGTAAACTATGTCAGTGTACGATGTACTATAGTGTCAAATTTGACAAAACGGCTACCATTGAATACAAAAATAAGTATACGACATGACATCGCTCTTTTTCGTGTTAATTATTGGGTGACATAAGAGCCCCGTAATGGCAACACACTTCTTTACACCGTCAGTGTAGCCTGACGGAATGAATGTGAGCCTGCTTGAATCTGTGGTTGCTACGTTACAAAGCTTTGTAGTTACCTCGTAAGAGAACCTCTTTTAGTCCCTTATAGGAACGTTGAAAGAGTTCATTCAGTTTTTGTAGTATATACCTTTCTTACTAGCCCTATTTAAGTACAGAAAAATAATCACACATAAAAAAAGTGTAGATTTCCGTCACGTCCTGGCTAGGCCATCGTTCAGTATTTTACATTATTGTCGAAATTGCTAGTTACCGGTTTCCATATGTACTTGTTTACATTTTTTGCCTTGTTTGTAGCGTTGCTGTTTCCATTTCTGTCGGTTTACATTTATGCGTATGAAACGTGGTTAGGCAACATAATAGCGATGTAATCGCAGTGTTTTGTGCACATGTTGATAATACTTATTTATATTTTGTTATTTATATATATTGTTGGTAACCTTACTTCATATGTTCTCGCGTCGCCCGCTTGAGAATGAAATTCAGTGGAAGATGGGATGCCGGTGCAGCCACATTTTTGTTGGCGTAAAGCTGGAAAAACATCAAGGATAGATTCAATGGTATATGCAGCATTGATGCACTCGTAGTGGAACCAGTTGATCCTTAGTACTCTCGCTGGCTGGGCACTTTCGAGAAGGACCTGTACAGGCTCGCAGTTCACCTCCTTCATTGACGTTGCGCGTCCTTGCGGTTTTTCAGGGTATAACCGATATGGATGTGCTGTAGATTTGCTACGGATATTGTGTCTGTGCCTAGAACACAGAAAGTTCCATTAAAATAACTTAGTGATTTAGGATTGTTTAGAAACTTGCCCCCGTGAAAGTCTATGGTTCCACGAAGCTTAGATTCTCGGTTAATAATTAATTACATAAGAAGACACGTGATGTTCGTATTTGTGCGTCTCACCGGTGCGCATTACCTTCTGTTTACTTTTACTAAACATAAGCTTTAGATATGGCTCATTACGAGGAAATCAAGGCGCGGCGCCGTGTTGGCGCGGTGCAGCCACCGCTGTGGTTTAACGCCTCGTCTTCATAAAGCACGAAGGCTCGTAACAGCGCTCACAAACAAACCGCATGTAGCCGCAGCTGTTGTTGATCTTTACCAAAGTGGAGAACTTCCGCGTCGACTTTCTTGCAGTGTGGGTGGCAGTGCGGCAAAGCCGAATGTCGAGTGACAATGTAATTTGCGTAGACTTGGGAAGACCGTATGCTGTTCGAAAAAGTTTTTTGGTTGTTTTTTTTTTTTGCTTTGGCAGCTCACTTGCTACAGTTTTCTTTTTTTTTACTTCCTCGTCTCATTTGACGGTAAACGCACATGCTGCCACGCTATTAGTATGAAACACGGGAACCTAATCAAATGAATGTTCTTATAACTAAGTAGTCTTTGCACCTTTTCTCATTTTTTTTGTGCGTTTCTTGAGATACTGTTCGCATCATTTTGTGTAGCACACTTGGTCTATGGCGTTTAATAAACATTCACCTATACCTTGTTCTTAGGGCGGTTTCACGGTGGTTGTAAGTTGTTCTGAGCTGGTGTCTGTCTTTGTTCACTTTTGAGTGAGTGAGTGAGGGAAAGAGTGAGTGAGTGACCAACCGACTGACCGACCGGCGTGGTATCTCAACGACCTGGGTATATAATTCGGTATAAAAGTAATGCACATGATTTTATTGTGGCGCGACTACTAAATGCGAAGCATTTCTTAGGGAACTTCGGTGGCGTTGAGCGTATCTATCTGTCTATCTATCTATCTCTATCTAGCCGCCTACGACTTTTAGCTCTCCTGGCCGTTTCGATAGTGATATCGATACCAAACTTGATATGGCATATCATGACTGTATGAAGAATATATTTGACTAGTCACAACATGAAAATCATGAAATGTATGTCATGAATGTCATGGTTTACATGCCGTGGTCCTGCAGCTCTTGCGGTGGTTTCGTTCACATTGCATGTTGCAAAACTGGTATGGTATCACATGATTGCATGGCGAACACAAGCGACAGACCCTAACATGAAATTCATGACATGTGTGTCATGTAACAACATGACTACATACCACTTCATGATGTGCTCGCGGCCTTTTCGCCAGCGTACATATTCCAAATTTGGTGTTACGGTACGCGAATGGATGACGAAGGTATGTGACTGGTGCGAACTTGGTAATCATGAGATGCGTGTCGTGCAACAACATGATTACATGCCATGCTCATGGTGCGCTGGTGACCGTTTCATTAGCTTAACTTATACCGAATTTCGTATTACAGGACGTGAAAGGAGGACGAGGGTATGTTATTGGTGCAAACATACTAAACATAATATGTGTCATGTAACAGCATGACTACATGCTACGCTTATGATGCGCTCGTGGCTGTTTCGCTAGCTTCACATGTACTAAACTCGGTATTACGTGACGCGAACGGATGACATAGGTACATGACACATCCAAAGATGATAATCATGACATACGTGTCACGTAACAACATAACTATACATGCCACACTCATGATGCGCTCGCGGCCGTTTCGCTAGCTTCACATATGCCATATTTGGTATTCCGTGACGCCAATGGATGAACAAGGTATGGCACTGGTGAAAACATGATAATCATAAGATGCGTGTCATGTGAGAACATGACTACATGCCACAGTCAAGGTGCCAATACATTTCGACGTGACGCGGTGTGCGTGCTCGCCGGCGTTCATTTCGTCGCGTCACGCCAGGCACCGGTCCTGCCATATACTCGCAGGTACGCGCCGCCCGGCGTTGATTTGGCGGATGCCCGTTTCAGCGCGTCCGGCGTCCCTCCGTCACGAAAAGAGGGAGATGCAGTGTTGTCTGGGTAATGCATCGGCGCGAAATGCAGCGTGTCGCATTTTGCGCCGGTTGCCGTCGGGCCGCGCCAACGGACGCTGGTCGCACTTGGCGTAAGAACTATAGAGTGCTCGCGTTTTGCTAACGTGGCGTCACTGTGCCCAGCGCGCGCGTGCGTCAACGCTGCATCACAGTATATTGGTCCCTTCATGATGCGCTTGCGGCTGTTGTTTTGCTACACATATACCAAATTTGGTGTTACGTGACGTGAATGGCAGCGATGGCGTAGTGGTTAGAGCACCCGCCTCGCATGCAAAAGGTCCGTGGTTCAAATCCCGGTGCCGCGCAGTTCCCAACCGGATAAATAAAAATCCGCGTGGTGATGGAACTGCATTACGAGGCCTGGGGTGTGGCCTCACCGGTAACCACCGCCGGGAACGCACTCCCTCATCAGAAAAGGATTGGCCACCCTGGTGCAGTATCTGGCCACTACCTCCCACATGCATACGTCAAATAACTCACGGCCCTCAGTTCCCAGCAGCTGCGAAGCAACTGACCATGGCGGCGGTCAGATCTGCAACGCAGCAGAGGGTGCTAAGAATCTCTGGACTACAGGCCGCCTTTGGAACTTGAACTTGGCAACGCTTAACGCTAGAACCTTATCTAGTGAGGGAAGTCTAGCTGTACTATTCGAGGAGCTAGACGGTGTTAAATGGGATATAATAGGGCTCAGTGAGGTTAGGAGGACAGATGAGGCCTATACTGTGCTACAGCATAGGCACGTCCTTTGCTATCGGGGCTTGGCAGACAGAAGAGAACTGGGAGTGGGGTTCCTAATTCACAGAAACATAGCTGGCAACATAGAGGAATACTATAGCATTAATGAAAGGGTGGTAGGTATCGTAATTAAACTGAATAAGAGATACAAGATGAAGGTGGTACAGGCCTACGCGCCTACATCCATCATTGATGACGCTTCAGTTGAAAGCTTCTATGAAGACGTGGAATTGGCAATGAGTAAGGTGAAAACACGGTATACAATACTGATGGGAGACCTTATTGCAAAGGTAGGGAAGAAGCAGGCTGGAGATCAGGCAGTAGGAGATTATGGCATCGGTACTAGAAACGCCAGAGGAGAGCTACTAGTAGAATTCGCAGAACGCAATGATTTACGGATTTTGAATACCTTCTACCGAAAACGAGGAAACCGCAAGTGGACATGGAGGAGCCCTAATGGCGAAGATAAGAACGAAATAGACTTTATAATGAGTGCACACCCAGGCATCGTGCAGGATGTGGAAGTGGTTGGCAAGGTACGATGCAGTGACCATAGAATGGTATGGTCTCGAGTTCGCCTAGACTTGAGAAAGGAACGACAGAAACTTATACGCAAGAAGCCAATCACTGAGCTAGCACTGAGAGGGAAAGTACAGGAATTCAGAGTCTCGCTTCAGAACAGGTACTCTGCTCTTAGTGAGGAAACCAACCTTAACATAGATTCAATGAATGATAATCTTACGAGTATCATTACGGAGTGTGCAGTGAAAGTTGGAGGCAGGGTAGTTAGACAGGACACTGGCAAGCTTTCCCAGGAAACGAAGAATCTCATTAGGAAGCGTCAAATCATCAAAGTCTCAAGTACAACAGGCAAAATAGAACTTGCAGAGCTTTCGAAGTTGATTAATAGGCGTAAGGTATCCGATGTAAGAAGGTATAACATGGAGAGAATTGAACACGCTCTGAAAAACGGAGGAAGCGTCAAAGCAGTGAAGAGGAAACTTGGGATAGGCAAAAATCGGATGTATGCACTAAGGGACAAAGAAGGCGAAATAACTACCAATATGGATAGGATAGTTAAAATAGCGGAGGAGTTTTACAGAGATCTGTACAGTAGCCGGGACAACCACGACTTTAATACTATAAGAACTAGCAGTAACCCAGATGACACCCCACCAGTAATGATAGAAGAAGTCAGAAAAGCTTTGGAGAGCATGCAAAGAGGCAAAGCTGCTGGTGAGGATCACGTAACATTAGACCTGCTGAAAGATGGAGGAGAGATTGTGCTAGAAGAATTAGCCACCCTGTTTACGAGGTGTCTCCTGACGGGAAGAGTACCAGAGTCTTGGAAGAACGCTAACATCATAAGAAAGGAGATGACAAGGACTTGAAAAATTACAGGCCTATTAGCTTGCTCTCTGTGGTATACAAGCTATTTTCAAAGGTAATTGCTAACAGAGTAAAGAAAACATTAGAATTCAATCAACCAAAAGAACAAGCAGGATTTCGAACAGGCTACTCAACAATCGACCACATTCATACTATCAATCAGGTAATAGAGAAATGCTCAGAATATAACCAACCACTATACATAGCCTTCATAGATTACGAGAAGGCATTTGATTCAGTAGAAATATCAGCTGTCATGCAGACACTGCGGAATCAGGGCGTCGATGAAGTATATATGACCATCCTGGAAGAAATCTACAGGGGATCAACTGCTACCATAGTGCTTCATAAAGAAAGCAACAGAATACCAATCAAGAAGGGTGTAAGGCGGGGGACACAATCTCCCCAATTCTATTTACCGCGTGCTTACAGGAGGTTTTCAGAAGCCTAGAATGGGAACAGTTAGGGATAAGAGTTAATGGAGAATACCTTAGTAACTTGCGCTTCGCCGTTGACATTGCATTGCTGAGTAACTCAGGGGACGAATTGCAACTCGTGATTACGGAGTTAGACAAGGAGAGCAGAAAGGTGGCTCTAAAAATTAACCTGCATAAAACGAAAGTAATGTACAACAACCTCGGAAAACAGCAGCGCTTTGAGATAGGTAATAGTGCACTTCAAGTTGTAAAAGACTATGTCTACTTAGGGCAGGTAATAACCGCGGAGCCGAACCACGAGATTGAAGTAACTAGAAGAATAAGAATGGGGTGGAGCACATTTGGCAAACACTCTCAAATTATCACAGGTAGATTGCCACTATCCCTCAAGAGGAAGGTATATAACAGCTGTATCTTGCCGGTACTTAGCTACGGAGCAAAAACCTGGAGACTTACAAAGAGGGTTCAGCTTAAATTGAGGACGACGCAGCGAGCAATGGAAAGAAAAATGGTAGGTGTAACCTTAAGAGACAAGAAGAGAGCAGAGTGGATTAGGGAACAAACGGGGGTTAAGGATATCATAGCTGAAATGAAGAAGAAGAAATGGACATGGGCCGGGCATGTATCGCGTGGACAGGATAACCGCTGGTCGTTAAGGGTAACTAACTGGATTCCCAGGGAAGGCAAGCGGGTTAGGGGGAGACAGAAGGTTAGGTGGGCAGATGAGATTAAGAAGTTTGCGGGATATAAATTGGCAGCAGCAAGCACAGGACCGGGTTAACTGGCGGAACATGGGAGAGGCCTTTGTCCTGCAGTGGACGTAGTCAGGCTGATGATGATGATGACGTGAATGGATGACGAAATATATGACTGGTGCAAACATGATAATCCTAACATGCGTGTCTTGTAAGAACATGACAACATACCAGGCTTGTAGCGTGCTCGTGGCTGTTTCGCTAGCTTCACATATACTCAATTTGGTATCATGTGACGTGAATGAATTACGAAGGTAAACGACACATCCAAACATGATAATTATGACACGTAAGTCATGTGTATCTCCACCTCTGTAACGTTGTCTTGATTTT